AGTCGTAAGGCCTAGCTGTTGTAGATACCTGCTGTGGGCTTGTCGTTCAAGAGGTTTCGTGAGGCCGTCAGCAGCCATCTCATGAGTTCGTACATGCTCTACGTAGAGGTTGCCGTCGCGGACTTGATCCTTGATGTAATGGTAGTAGATATCGACGTGCTTTGTACGCTCGTGGTGGCCCTCTGAGTGTAGTAGCTGTATAGATGGAGCGTTGTCTCCGTAGATAAGGATAGGATGGGTATCTGTACCGTTGTAACCGAGCTGGTGCAGCAGACGGTACAGCCAGGTAGCCTCCTTGACGGCGTAGGTGAGTGCCACGTACTCAGCTTCAGTTGTTGAGGTTGTAACTAGCTTTTGCTTGACTGACTTGTGACAGATCGTGCCTCCAGCAAGTTTGAACAAGTATCCAGAGGTTGATTTGCGGTCCTCGCCGTCAGCAAATGAGGCGTCGCTGTAGCCATGTAGGTGTAGCGTAGGATTAGTGTTGTTCTTGTTGTCATCGTATGATGTCGCATACATGGTGATAGGCAGGCGTGCGTGTGGAGATGTAGCTCGATAGCTCATCACGAGCGACTTGAAGGTTTTGAGGTAGTCGATGATCTGGATTGCGTACTCGTAGTGTTGTTGAGTCGGGTTGCTCATAGCGCGGGCGAGATAGGCGACGTGGAAGGATATATCGGCTCGCAGTTGGGTTGCTGGGTACAGCAGCTTGCCAATAACCTTCTGGTAGTTCTGAATTTGTTGTTGAGTTGCAAGGTCAGTTGGAGATCGCAGCTTCAACTTGAGTACTGAGGTATCAAGTGGCGTGTAGCGAGGGAGCGCGTGTTGACGACTATACTCCTCTACAAGCTTGTCGACATATGACTCCATTGAGATCTCGATGAGTCGGGATGGTCGTGAGCGTCGGATCCGGAGACCTAGGTAGTGAGAGATTGGTCCTAGATCTCGACACTTGTACTTCTTGTATACAGCCTCTTTGATCTCCTTCATGCGTTGCTTCGTAGCTGTGATGAAGATGATATCATCAACATACGCAAGGATAAGACTGCCGTCTAGGTGTTTGAAGACACATGGATCTGACTCTAAAGGATCGAAGCCGATACCCTTGAGATAGCTCGATAGCTCATTGTACCAGAGGCGTGGTGAGCGGCGCAGGCCGTACAAAGCTTTGATAAGCTTGGCTTTGCGTCCGTCTGGCAGGCGGACATAGACTACTTCGTCTTTGTCTAGTTTACCGTTGAGAAAGGCGGTAACAACGTCTGCTTGCTCACATTCCAAGTCTTCGGTTGCGACAAGGGCGAGAAGGACTTTCAGTGTAGTTGCGCGAGCTACTGCAGCGTAGGTTTCGCGCCAGAAGTCGGTCTCCTGCCTATTGCCACAGACAACCAGTCGAGCCTTGAAGCGCTCGAGTTGTCCATCGTCCTTGACTTTGTATTTGTATACCCACTTAGTAGGCAGGGCGTATACGTCGGGAGGTATCGTAGTTGTAGTCTCCCATGTGCCATTCTGGTCGAGTGATACGAGCTCTTCATCTTCAGCAGCGATCCATTGCTTGCTGTATGGATGAAGGCGTGCTGCCTTGCGTGTGGCAGGCTCGGGCGGTAAGTCTGTTGTTGTTGCCTCTGTAATTGCCGTAGCAAAGCAACGAGAGACTGCCGCGTATCGGTTGGGCGGTCGAGTGATGCGACGACGTCCATCGAGTATGTTACGGGCATCAAATGATGCACTGATCTCGTCGTGACGTGGAGCGTTTTGGGATGTATCCCGACGCTGAGGTGTTGCTCGAGCATTAGCAACCTCGGTAAGACTGTTGTAGTTGTCAATATCCGCGTCAAAGTCAAAGCTAGACTGCGCTTCAGTCTCTAGTCCATCAAATACATAACCACTACCTTGCTCCGGGAGAGAGACTTCATGGTGTGGAAATGAAGAGGGATCTAGTGCTGGCGGTGGATCTTGGATATAGAAGCTTTGATCCGGTTCGGTTGTAGCTGTGTCTTCTTGGACTACAGCTTTTACGTCGTGTTTAGGCCAAACAACACTGCTCGTACGGTGTATAGACTGTGTGACTGGATCCCACATGAGATAGATCCGAGATCCTTCTCGACCGACGAAGTACATCTTGACCGATCGTGGTTCGAACTTGGCGCTCTGAACTCGTCGCTGTACTGGTTGATGGACGTACCCAGCTTCTCCGAAGGTGCGGAAGGAGCATAGATTAGGCACAGGGTTTGCAACCTTCATGTGCTCAAATAGCAGCTGTCTTGGTGTCTTACTGTCTGGTACAGCAGAGCTGACGCTATGGTTAAGGACGTCGATGGAGTACTGGGCTGCGTATGGCCAGTATGACTTAGATATGTGAGGCGCCGCCAAAATCATTGTGCGTGCTCGGACCTCCACTACGTAGTTGCTGGCTTCAGCGACTCCATTCTGGTGGGGTGTATAGGCGGTGGAAGGCTCGGAGATAATGCCTTTGTCCTTGAAGTAACGCCTAGTCGTCTGGTTGAGGAACATGTTGTCGTTGTCCATGTGAACGATCGATACTCGAACGTGGTGTTGAGTTTCCATCTTGTCCAGGTGTTGTATAAGCTTAGATGTGATTGCTGCTTTGCAGTCTGTGAAATCAATCCAGCGGTATCGTGAGTAGTCGTCGGTGTACAGTATCCAGTAGCGCTCACCGTTGACACCTTCGGGCGTCACGGGTCCAACAATATCGATATGAATACGATGGAGGAACGTGGTTGAGCGGGCTGGAGACCGTCGTGAGATCTGCTTCTTCGATTTGGATAACATGCAGGCCTCGCATGAGAATGCCTGTGTTGTAGTGAGACGTAGGCCGGTGGTGTTGGCGACGAGTAGCTTAAGAGCTTTAGGGTCGGCATGGCCAAACAGCTCATGGAGCTCCTGGAGGGTAATCTCGCGATAGGGAGCGAGTACACCTGTTGGGTTGGTTGTCGCGGCGGTTGCAAAGGCAAACGCGCGAGCTGCCTCAAGCTCTGTGTTGGCGAGGAGGAGCGTAGGGATCTTGTCGATCTCAGGTGTGAAGGCGATCTCTTGTTGTGATGGCATGAGGTACAGCTTGCTGTCCCAGCCGTGGTAATAGAGATTTTTCGCTCGTAGTTTGGAGTGGGAGAGGACTGATACAAACATGTCTGGTGCATATAGCACGTTGGTGAAGGAGACCTTGTTGAGTACACCTTCTGACGTGACGACAGTGATCTGAATGGTACCTACCTGCTTGGCAGTAATAGGTCCGGCTCCAGTATTAATTATAGCAGGAGTAGTGTCGTGTAGAATTTGGAACTTGTTGCGATCATTGCAGATGTGATCGCTGCTTCCAGTATCGATAATAAATCGTTGTTTGAAATTAGAGGTCTCCTTGGTGAGACTCTGTACCTTCTCTGACAGATGAACTGTTGTAAAGGTAAAACCTTCAGCATTAATAGCTGCGGCGTTGGTGCTAGTGGGCTGTTGTTTGCCTTGTTGTTGAGCTTGGCGCTGACGCCAGGCTTCAGTGGCGAGATGAGGAAAGGTGTACCAGCAGTCATCACCTCCTCCAGTATGGTTGCAGTCGCAGTGCTTGCAGTATGGGGAGGTATTTGTAGGTCTCTGAGTCGCACCCCCAGAACCTCTACCTCGTCCGCGCTGGGCTCGCCCATTGCCTCGATTGCCGCGGCCACGGGTGGCGCTTCTGTTGGCGTCGTTGTTATCGCCAAGAGGCTGACTGCGGTTGTTGTCACCCCCAGAAGCTCGGATAGACGTGTTGATGGTCTTAATTGGGTCGTCGCGGCGGGCCTCGTCAATGAGCTCGCTGCACATGCGATCGACGTTCAGAGTAACGTTGCGGCGCAGATCAGCGCGGCGATCGCGTCCGTAGTCTGGGTAGGCGTTGTTGATAGCAAGAATGAACTGATACACTCGAGCTTTGTTAGATAGCTTACAGTCTGCGATGACGTCAAGCTTTGCAAGTCCTGCTTTGAACTTGTCGGTGAAGTTGGCTGTAGAGGGGCAGTCTTGAGCTCTCAGCTTGAAGAAATCTGCCCAGATAGTACACTCTTCAGTGACGCCTTGTTCACGATAACGAGCTGTAATAGCTTCGTACTTCTGCCTCACAGTAGGCAGGTTCATGACGTTGTCCCATACTGATCTTGGTACTGTATTGAGTATGGCCAAGGTGAGAGACGATTCTCGGGAGTTGTAGATACGATAGAGCTCATAGTCTTTGTCGTACTGTATAGTAACTTCTTTGTTGTGGGCTCGTACGCGTTGTTGAGCGTCAAGCAGAAGTTGTGGCGTGTTGAATGCCGATGACGTAGTTGTCGGTTCAGTTTGATAGTGAGGTGTTTCTGGGTATGTGACCATGTAGCTGCCGTCGAGTAGACCTCCGATAGAGTGAATATTTGCGTACAGCTTCAATGCTGCTTCCCAGTGGTAAGCGTTGCTACCATCTGCTTGTAGCTTTGGGATCGCGTCCATCGCTGTGGATGGCGCCATCGTGACTTTATCGTCGTCGTCGTCGCGCGAGTGACTGATGTTGTGTTCAACTAATCGGTTCTGCTGCTGCGGAAATCGCACCTCTAGAGCACTTTATCGTGATAGAGGAGGGCTCATAACCTGATGAAGGTGGAGAAAACGTGCGAGAACTTGTTGTATTGGAGCTACGGGAGGAGTGAGAATATCTATGGTGCGCGCACGGAGCAGCTGACTAATCAGTGCCTGGCCAATCAGAGCACGGGAAGCCTGATTCACCGTGAATACTAGTGAAGGCTCTTACCGCGTCTCGACAGTATCGTCTCACTCGTCAATATACTTAAGTACAGTCAAGTACAATGTGGTGCATAACGCACTAAGCCGTCTTCCAGCCGCCGTGTATGGGAGTCGTCATTGCGCCGCGGACGTTCCAGTCCTTCCAGAGGTCGTCTTCGAGTTGAGCCTTGTCGTGATCTTGGTGAATTCCATTACTACCTAAGTAGATCTACGGCCATTTTCCTTGCGCCACTATACTATTGGTGCGTTGCTATTGGTGCGTAGAAGCTGAATTTGCCCGTGGGGTCATACTTCTGCTTAAGCGCCTGGAGCTTCTTCTGCCTCCAGCTCTCGTGACCATACCAGGCTTTCGGTCCCTCATCACCGTACGCATAGTTTACATACGTATGTAATTCCTTTGACCCTGTACCCTCCCGGATGATGTCGCGAAGCTGAGTGCCGAGCTTCTTGACGGCATTGTCCTGCGCCTTGCCAGTGGAGTTGTATACGATCAGAGGTGCAGCGAGGGTGTGCGCGTCGCGGAAGCCGAACGCGCTAGCGTTGTTGTTACGGAAGCGGACACCGCCACTGGCGTAGTCTTCGAACATGAAGATGGAGTTATAGTATGGGTTGTCGGTACCAGAAATAGCGGAGGAGTAGAGGTCCCAGGCCTTTCGCTGCGCAGTGACGTTGTAGGATTTTATGTAGATAGGGAAGCGAGGATTGTTGAAGCCAAAGTCCTGACATGGAGGCGATTCGAGGGCGATACCAGTCCACTTTGCGAGATCCTTGTAGGTGCCGGACTGAGGCGTCGTAGCGAGGGGACCGATTTTGTGAAAGGGGGTGGTGTACTTGGCATCGACAGCAGTAACACCCTCTTGGACGATGTAGATCACGATGACCGGCTGGTTCTATGTTAGCGACTGGAATTTTATCAAGGCTTGTAAATCATCTCACCCCCTCAGTGCTGTATGTTGCATCGTTCTGCCAGTAAGTCCAGTCATGAATGTCCGCGGCCTGCTTTCCACCCTGGAGAATGTACTTGTTGACAGCCTCGTACACCTCCTCGACCTTATCACCGCTGAAGACAATAGTCTCAATTGCCCAGTCGTAATGCTTGATGTCGTAAACCTTGGTAGTGACGGATGTGACGATGCCGAAGTTGTGGCCAGCGCCTTGCATGCCCCACCACAAGTCTGATTTGCTATCGATCGTCTTCAAGTCTCCGTTCGCGAGCACAACCTTCATGGAAAGTAACTGATCGGTGATCAGACCATAGTGACCCTGGAACCACCCGTGACCGCCACCGAGGGCCGGTCCCAAGAAGCTGACGCATTCACAGCATCCGGTGACTAAGTTTTGTTAGAACACGTCGAAGCTGTTGTGAATGTGTAACTAGATCTTACCAGTCTGCTTTCCAATAGCCCAAAGAGTATCAGTCAAATTCTTCGTGTTGATGCCACCCCCTACGGTCACCGACTTTCCATCCTTGGCGATCGAGATAGAGTTTAGCTGAGGCATATAGATCTCGATACCATAGTCCATCCTGCCCAAAGTTGTAAGGGTTCCATGATGGCCGTTGTAGGTGAGGAAAGGAATGTTATGCGTATTCGCAAAGTTGACCTGCAGCAAACATTGTTAGTACCACTCATCGCTTACTTTTGAATGAGCGCATCAACAACAGGACTTACGATCTTTTGAACATCCCTATCTATGCCCGGTGCGATGACGATGTTTGGCGTGGGAGCTTCAAGATTGGACCATCGATTTGTGTAGGTAGCAAACTCCTTTGTGCCTGGAAGGTAGATCTTCGCATTGACAGAAAGCTTTGTTGCCAATGTCTTCCAGTCGATGCCGGCTGCAGGGGTTCTAGGAGAGAGATTGAAGGGCGAAGCAAAACCTCCTCCGATGTTTGGCACGACCGACGTCAGGACCCAGCCTGCAACAACGAATAGCGTCAGGATGCTAGGTAACATGATGCTGGTAGAAAAGCACAAATATTGGTGCGAGAGGGATGGAAGATACCAATGTGCTGGAGTTTGGCTTCAAGCCCTGGAGCTACCTCCAACAAAAAGGAACGTCCAATAAATAGCTAAGGGCATTATCATCGATGACGAAGAATACTGGAAGGTTTTGCAGTGGTCCTGATGGCTTGAAGGCGGGACAGGTTACAAGGATGGACGGAGACAAGGGTGAACCTGCCCGGGTGGTCCTACGATAATCTTGACCATTCGCCTCGACTCGTGCGGCTGTGTGTTATTGAGTGGATCAGGGAGTCTCCGTTGAGCCCCGGCATTACCGCCATTGGCTCGTTGCTTTGACCAGATCCCGCAAGCCGCGCCGTCAACCGCCTAGACTCTGACAGCTGCCGTTCACGCGCTAGTGCGTGGCGTTCATCTCCTGCCGCTTCTCTCATGGCTTGGATAACTTCGAAACCTGCGCGGTTTGCAGAGTTACTCAAGGAAATGGGTGTCGTCCTATCTCTCGTAGACTACGCTGTCGGTACCCGAATGCGTAATGTGACCATGACTGCGCACCTTTGGGGGTTACACTTGGTTCCCGGTGCATAGCAGACCGAAGAAAGAGGGGAATACATCCACTCAATCCTTCAGCTCGCGCAGACATCGGCCGTGGACCTACCAGAGAACAGCATGGCTGCACGCGATATTACCATGCTCGCTAATGCAACTCTGCGACCCATGCCGTAATTCCAATATGCGGCAAGAACTGTGCCTTTGACTTATCACTTCCCCTTGCATAAGGTCGGCCCGCGAGCTCAAGCTTGGCGGTCGATGTGACTCCGGGTCACAGTGATCCAGCTAGCCGAGGAACATACTCATTCAACTCCTGTTCATGGCCTTGTCACGTGCAATTTGAAATACATGATATATGTTACATGTTTTTATTCTGCTTCTTCACTCATTTCAATCGAACAACCGACGGCAGTGCTGTTGCTGAGTTATATTCGAGCACCTTAAATAGAGAAATCGCCATGGGTACTGTGGAATTTTGGACGCTCTATACTCTTAGTGTCTTGATCACATTTTTGCGAATATATGCCAGTACCACAGTTGGTGTTCACAATCTACGATGGGACGACCGTGTCATGTGTATTGCAATTGTGAGCAACGGGAATCTCTGTTGCCTATATCACCTTTTTACTGACGATTCTTGAACCAGCTCTTCTATACAGCACAATGTGTCCTCGGGTATATACTGGGGGCAGTTGCCCAGGGCCTCGCCAATGATGGTATGACGCCGGATGAGCGCAGTGTACTCTCGCAAGATGATCACGAGTACATTATGCGGTATGTGCAAAGCCAGTCCTTCGTATAAGCAATACGACAACGTTCATCTCTAGTGTGTGAACCACTATGTCGCGAATGTAGCTAACATGACTCCAGAGTTATGGGATCTAAAATCCAGGTGGCGGGATGGACAGTAGCTGTATGTCTACTTTGGTCGCTCAAGCTATGTGTAGCACTTTTCTACCTTCGTCTTACCGTATGTGTATCTATCGCATCAGATCTATGAGCTTTGACTGACAGAGCCACACAGAGCTGCCTCCAGAAACTCAGGACCCATGTTCATATCGCTTTTGGTCTTATCACTATTACCTTCATCACTAGCCTCTTAACGATATACCTTTCCTGCCAACCCTTCTCCCACTACTGGCAGATCGTTCCTAACCCTGGTAACGTATGTCAAGCAGCGATATCAAAGCCCATAATCTGGGTGACATTCGTTTCGAACTTATCTACTGACGTACATCTGCTCTTGATACCTGTTCTTATGCTACGGAAATCGAGCTTGAAGAAGTACGAGAAGGTTGCTATCATGTTGGTACTTGGCGCTGGCGTGCTGGTCATTGCGTGCGCTACGCTCAAGAGTATCTATCTTATCGTAGTAGGACACTATCTCCCAGCTGCCGAGTCTCGAACCTTTATACTGATCGATCTTTAGGACCCTGCTCACAGCGGTGAGAACACAGCTTCTTGGGGTACTCGGGAAACATTCGTCGCCATCTTTACCACCAATCTGCCCATGATCTATGCCTTACTCAAGAAATGGCTCGCACCTTTCCTCCCAAGTACAACCCGCTCAAGCTACACCAAACCACACAAGTCCTCCAGCAGTGGCTTTAGAACTATCAGAAGTAACAGCAATGATGATAGGGTTAGGGCTAACGGTGTCACATGGGGCGTCTAACGTTACCTCGAATCTGACGTTCGGTAATGAGAGGGGAGAGCAGATGGTAAAGGGAGGCAATGTAAAACTGCAACATATGCAATGTACTACAATTCAACAACAAGGGAAGGGCATAATTGCCGTAACGAATCAGGTCATCATTACTTCCGGAGGCCTCGGTAGTTTGCGGGGCAATCACACATCCTAGATTCTGTAGTGTAGTAAAGAACGTCTCACGTCAAGATTTCTATCCGTCTCCCGACTCGCCACATAAGCAGTTGAACTAAGTTGGCTGTGTCACACTTCTGCGTCAGGTATATCCCTACGTGGTTGAGTCAGCCTTGCTCGACGGTGGACTGCTGCATGGCTCTCGGTCCACCGAACCTTCCTACATACCCCGTACACCCTCATGCAATTGCAGTTTCCGGTTCATGCAAGTGATCAATCTTTCATCCCACGCCAAGCCACTCTCCCCTAATGATAATCTTAACCGAAGAGCGCTAGCTCTTGTCAGCAGTACTTTGTGTAGGGAGACAACAGTATCTCCTAGCCCATAGAAGGCAACAATCAAACATATTTGCAAATATGAACCGTCGAAGCGCTATATTTGTGTCAAATTAGATGAGATCTTGTGGTAAACTAATAATTATTGATAATTGTGTGTCTTGTAACAAGATGCCAACAATCAAGCCTGCTTGATGGGCTTGATTGATTTGATTGAGTGAATACAATCAAGCCAAATCAAGCCCAGACTGCTCAAAAGTACAAGCAAATCAAGCCCATCAAGCAGGCTTGATTGGTGAGCTTGATAGGCTTGATCCTGGCTATATCGTAGAACGTGAAGCCGTAGATTTTGGTATAACCTAGGTTCCATCCCATCTTCTCTCACTTAAAGGCTAGTACGTACAGGGCATAGCGCCCACAACGTTAGCCGGCGGAGATATAGATCTTAGTTCCCGTAGCACAATAATTAACACGATTCTCTACATGTTCTATTCCCAGTGCTACCCGTTGCCATTATGCCAGACCCCAGACATCCTCGTAAACGCCCTGCTGCCGCTCCTGTTGCCGCCGCTGGTCGCTCAAAACGCCAGAAAGGCAGTAAATCACAGCCTATAACTATCGAAGCTTCGCAGCCATCTCACCCTTTCGTTATCGACGAGGATACACAGCGCGAGACTCCGCCAACGTCGCCGCGTCGAGCTATACTGGCCGCGAGCCAAGGCGTTGATTTCGAGATGCAGTTGCGCGACTCAATACCCGAAGATGCAATTGTCGCGCCTATTGAAGCCTCTGAGGTAGCTGCAGCGGCGTCTGAAGCGGTAGATGAAGGCGAGCCAGAGCCTGACTTCGACCCGCGTATGGCCGATAACTTTGATGGCATTAACTGGAGTCGCCTGCCACGGTATATGAAGCCTCTTCGGACACAGAAGCAGAAGAAAAGCTGGGTATACAACTACGGTTATCGGCTTACTCTCCGCAGTAATACCAACAGGATATTCTGGCTGTGCCACATCTGTCACAAGCGTAAAGCAGCGACTGCTGGCTTTGCGGAGACGACGGAGGCAACTAGTACTGCTGCGAGGCACCTGAATAGGGATCATGGAATAACAAACGCTGGCGAGCAACCGCCTCAGCAGCTTCTTGGAGGCCAGAAATCGCTAGAAATGATGCTGAAGGGCGGCTTCGGCGTTAGCCAAAGGGTTGCGAACGAGATAGAAAACTTCGACGTACAGTCCTTTCGAATAGCAGCTGTTAGCTGGCTTGTTGACAACAACCTCGCCCTCTGCTAGTTCGAAGATCCAGCTTTCCGCAGGATGATACATTTCGCGAATCCTGAAGCTGAGCAGGCGCTCTGGAGTAGTCGCACAAGCGTTGCGCAGTTTGTGATGAGGCTGTACAACTTCATGCAGCCTCAGGTCGTCGATGAGCTGCGTTGCGCGGCGAGCAGGATACATATAAGCTTTGATGGGTGGACCGTTAAAGGTGGCAAGCGTGGCTTCTTCGGTATTGTCGCTCACTTTGCCACGGCTGAGGGCGACCTTAGGGACGTTGCTATTGACCTGCCGCAGCTCTCAGGTGCCCATACTGGCGACAGGATAGCTGATTGTGTCGCTGAAACTCTGCAGAAGTTTAATATAACTGCGCAGAACGTTGGCTACTTCATGCTCGACAACGCGTTCAATAACGACACTGCTATCGCGGCCCTTGGAGCGAAGTTTGGCTTCAAGTCTAAGCATCGCCGGCTACGTTGTAGCGCTCATACAATCAACTTAGTTGGCTAGTCGATTATATTTGGTTCAAACAAGGACGCCTTTAACAACGACGAGAACTTGGCTGTAAGTCTACCTGTTCTTTTCAATGAAGCTTTCTAACGCTGTACAGGAGGAAGAGAAATACCTCAACGAGTGGCGTAAGCAGGGCCCATTAGGCACGCTTATAGACGTTATTAGCTACATCAAAACGCCACAACAGTACGACATGTTCGCGAACTTTCAGCGCCTCGCGAGGCAGGACTTACCGGCCGACGACGACGCTAAATTCCAAATACTCGAGCCTGTAAAGCCTTGCGTTACGCGCTGGAACTCCTTTTGTTCAGCGTTTGAGAGAGCTGTATTACTACAACCCGCGTTCAACTCCTACGTTTGTTTCTACGTGGAACAGCAGCGCGTTGCCGACTCACACGCTCGAACGAAGAACAACAAGAAGCCCCAGGCGCCTGCTTGGATGAGATCTAAGGGCCTCACAGCTGCTGATTAGGCTGTTATGACCGAGTATATTGAGGTGCTGAAGCCGCTGAAAGATGCTACAAAGCGCCTTGAAGGCAGAGGCAAATGTGGCCGTTTCGGTGCGATATACGAGGTTATACCAGTGTTTGAGTTCCTCATGGGGCGCTTTGAGCAGCGTCTCCGGCAGTACGAGAGGGTTGATTTTGAGCAGCGCGAGGCGCCTGAAGATCACATCTCTATCAACTTTCGCGCAGCGTGGGAGAAGCTCAACGACTACTACAGTAAACTCGACGACTCACCCGCGTACTTTGCGGCCTGCGCTCTTCACCCGTACTATTGACGCTATTGCGAGAAGGCGTGGCGTAATAAGCCTGAGTGGCTCGTCGCCTGTATGGCTGACTTTCGTGCTCTTTGGGCAGAGTATACGACCTCTACTCCTCCAACAAAGCCCTCAAAAGAGCGTGATAACGGCGCTATTGACGAGGCTATCTCGTACATCATAAGCGATAGCGAGGACGATGATGAGCTCACAGATGAGTACGACAGGTGGCGCAAATTGGAGCCAAAGTGGACGAGTAAGCAGCACAACAGCCCTAACGTTGACGGCAACCCTATCAAGTACTGGGTACAGCTTCAGTCTAAGTAGTAGATGATACAATACTATGCGAGACAAAATGAGAAGGTGGAAACTTCTCGATGCCATCGAGTATGTGCTCAATAGTTATTGTAGTGGCACCATCATCTTCAGGCAACAATGCTGAACACATGCTCTGCACGACGCTGACCCCAGCAGCAGTGGCCATTTAGCGCCCGCCACGAAGCTCGTACAACATCGAAACCCCATACTCAGCGCCACATTATGCAACAATTCATAGGCAGCTCCAATGAAAGTGCGGAAATCTATGATCATGCAAGGAATGACAAGCCACAAGACAAGACTTTTGGAATAGCAACGCAATTTCTTGGTACACAGGCGATCGACAAGGCTACTCATGCCTTAACGTGTCTGTGCGCGTGATGCCCATAATCGCGTGCCGCACACCCCGCAACATCAACACCAATCCACCCTTACCACTTCAACCACCCATAACTCCACAACTATGAGTTGTATCAACGCTGCGATTGAAGCTATTGAATCGCGTGATCCCGGAGATAAATTTACATACTCTGAGGTTGCGCGCCGCTTTGGTGTTGATCGCTCTACGTTGTCGCGACGCCATCAACAGATCCGGGGCTCAAATGAAGCCAAATCACGTAATCAGCAACTCCTTTACCTACACTAGGAGCTACAGCTTCTAGAGCACATTAATGAGCTTACTAAGGCTGGCTTACCACCGACGAGGACTATAATCTAGAACTTTGCTAGTGCTATAGCCGGAAGGGCTGCCTCCTAAAGCTAGGTGACGCGCTTCTTTCACCGTCATCCCGACGCGATTATATCACGTTGGTCAACTGGTTTGGACCGCAATCGCCACCAGGCTGATTCTGTATACAAGTACGAGTCGTACTTTGATCTACTATCTACTAAAATGGCTCAGCACTATATTCGGGCGCAGGATGTATATAATATAGATAAGAAGGGATTCCTTATTAGAGTAACGGGGAGGAGTAAGAGAGTGTTTAGTAAGCAGAAATATGAGACTGGGGGCTTTAAGAAAGTGATACAGGACGGCAACAGAGATTGGATCACTGTTATCGCTGCTATATGTGCTAATAGGAGTACGTTACCGCCCGCGATTATATACGAAGCTACTTCGGGCAACATGTACGCCAGATAGGTTGATGATATCGCAATTGACGATCTAGTCTACGTTACCTCAAGTCCCTCAGGGTGGACCAATGATTAGGTAGGCCTGGCATGGCTCGAACAGGTGTTTGATCGCCATACGAAGGAGAAGGCCGGCAATCACACACGCTTACTCATCCTTGACGGCTATGGGAGTCACGTTACTATGGAGTTTATTGACTACGCGATCGCCCACAATATTATGTTACTCGTACTACCCCCCCATAGTACCCATACGCTGCAGCCACTCGATGTGGTAATGTTCAAACCTCTAGCAGCCGCGTACTCACTCAGCTTGCAGCACTACCTCCAGGCGAGCCACGGTCTCTTAGCTGTGAGGAAGGATGACTTCTACCGTCTTTTTAAGCCTGCCTAGGACTCCTCTTTTATTAAGAAGCACGCGTTGAAGGCATTTAAAGCCACTGGGATAAGCTCCTATAGATCCCCGAAGTAGTACTTAAAAAGTTCCGAAAGTCAACACTAACAGCACCGCCGCCACTAGTGAA